TTGTTTGTTGGTGGCTGTCCTAATTATGGATGCTTTCTCCCAATGTACATTAATATCTAGATGTTTAGCAAAGGCTGCAAGGACGATGCTGTCCACGTTTTTAGTAATGGAATACTTATGTTCTTTAAGCCTCTGTTTTAAAAGTCTCATAGTGGCACCAACGTAAACGAGATCTGAATTAAAATGGCGGTCACTTAAAGGAATAGAATAAACTTCTGTACTATAAATGACATACTTGTATATGCTTGTATATGCAAGATATGTTGATGATGTTTTCATCATTTGGAGGAATAGTGATAGCACTCAATATTTCCTTAACAAAATTAATAATAACCCATATGGTGTGACTTTATCAATGGAACAGAAAAGTGACATTAACGTAAATTTTCTGGATCTGTCCATAACTTGTAAATATGGGGAAATTAAATTTCCCCATATTTATATATTTACATATATATATATATATAATCTGCATCAATGCTACTTTTCCAGAAAACTGTTCAAATGAAAATAAAAAAAATCACATAGCTGCATTTATGTAATACAGTAATTCAAATCTCTGAACGTGACACATTTTCAGTGCAGATTATATATGAGTAATTACAGTGATATTTTATTTTCTCCTTTTGTTCATTTTATTGCTAGGATTATGAAGAAATGTACTGTCTTTCAACATTAAATTTATTTACTTCACAAATTGAATACATTCAAGTACTTTCAACATTTTGAAATGTCATCCTCAAGCAAACAAAGAATATACAAAATTATACAAACACATGAAATCACAACTTGTGGTGAAGGCTAAATGGGCAACAGTAAAAGATAGAACAAAAGAACTAGCAAAATACAAGGTGTGATCAAAAAATATCCAACCTTAGTTTTTCATTGCAAATATTTGCAAGTTGGAAAGGATAACATTAGCATGCAATCCAATGCATTTGTATAATCAACCAGTTAAAATTCAATCCATCTTGTATAAACAATGACTCTTAACCGAAAAAAATAAACAAAAAATTTCTCTGGCTCCTGCAGTCTTCCAGCCACAACTCAAATCATCCTCACAAGATACAGTACCAAAGTTACTCTAATGCCATAGATCATAACAATATTCATTGCATTTTAGAATATGGTCCTAAGTACATTCTATAAATAAAAGCTTCCACAGCCCAGTTAATTCATCCCATCATGGCAGTGGCAAAAAGTTGTCAGCACCTGCAACCCAGTTTGGAAATAGCAGCTATATCTGAACTTTATTCTTCCAATCATATATAGAACTCTGTGACTGTTAACAAGAATTGTAGATTGGTGAAGCAGTTCCTCCACAACAAAAACCTGATACAATTAATTTTGGAAAAAACTAAAAGATTTGTCCTATGTTTCAATGCTGACTTCACAACTAGAGCAACACAATTTTTGGCATAATGTGGATCTACTGTCCAGACTGTACAGTGACCCCACTCCTACAGTCTTACGGACAACTAGAAAAATATCCCATGTTCTGATCTTACTTCCATTATCACCAGCTCTCTGCATCCTTTTACAAATGTGACTTGCTTGTGCTTCTTTGAGATTAAACTACACAAGCCTGGGTGGTCTTCATGCCCATTAGTTAACAAATGCACTTATCCCATTTATTTCTTAGAAAAGGCCCTAGCAATCTTTTTTTTATGGCATTAATCTCCCATTCTAGTAATTCATCTCCTCAACATTGGAGATCAAATCAATTATTATCAAAATGGTAGAAACAATCTCACCCAAAACATATCAATTTTACAAAATTGATGTTATCTCTTTATATCCATCTGTACCACACTTTGATACAGTAATGCTTTGTTTATTTATTTATTTTTTTCAAAACCGCAATGCAGCATAATAATCAACACCTGGCATAACTCATTCATTTATTTCAGTTTTTGTTGAGAGGAAGATGTAAGAGAAAGATGAAGATTAGACTAAAAGAACATGTGGCAGATTTAAAACATCATAGAATCAACTCAGCCTTTCTAGAACATTGTACGTTAAATAACTGTAATATTGACCAAAATAATGTAAAGATCCTACATAAAAAAAAAGAAACTTATAGCAGAAAATTTAAAGAGAGTATAGAAATTTTTAAAAATAAACATTGTATAAATAAAAACTTAAGTATAAAGATCAACGAGAACTGGCTAAAAATACTGTAAAAAATTTTTGAAAAAGAAAAATTTTTGAGAAAAAGGAGGTTTTTGAAAAATAATATAAAAAATTTTGAGGATTTTTGAAGTGTTCTTTGGAGGAAATCTGAAAAATAGTTAAAGGTCTTACTTGGAATAAATTTTAAATAAGAACGCATGGTTATGCAAATCATCATACAAAGAAAACCCGATTAGATGCTAAAAGCTGAAAGAATAAAAATTAAAAAATGAAGTCTAGCCACTTAGGTAAGAATTATTAACAACAAATAAGGATAGAAAGATTGATAAAAAGTATGTTTAATAATATAAAATGTATACGAATTAGATTAAATATTAAAGAAGAACTGTGCTGCATGCCCATTAGAACCTCTTGATATTTCCGGAAACCTTCTGTGAATAATTATGTATGGATAAATTCAATATACAGCTAATATTTAAGTTAATGTTTAAGTTTAATTAAAAACTGGGTTCTTTTGAATATTTTTAGAAAGAAAAAACTTTTAGAAGGAAGCATTATTATGCAAATCACCATAAAAGAATAACACCATTAAACACTGTGAAGTTTAGCTGTGTTGTTTAAGTAAGAACTATTAATAACATTATATAAAGATTAAAGAAGAACTATGCTACATGTCTGTTATGGTCTCTTCTTGATATTTCAAGGAATCTTCTGTGAATAAGTATGTAAAAGAAAAAAAAAAAACAGTATATAGTCTGACTTCTAAATGTTAAGTGTAATAACTATATTATTTTTTATAGCCTTTGAAGTCTAGTATAGTACAGTGTATGATTCCTGCTTGTAGAAATATGTCAAAAAATAAAATTTTTGATTTTAAAAGCGTTTTAAAAGGTATGTTACTTGTAAAATATAAAGATTTTTTTTAAGTTTTTTAAATTCATATGTCGGGTCATAATGTGTATAAAGTTGGTTTTATATGTTTCTAGTTGACTGAGGAGGGGCAAAACGAAGCCCGAAACGTGTGTAAGAACGCGTCTCAACAAAAACTGAAATAAATGAAAGAGTTATGCCAGGTGTTGATTATTACACTGCATTGCAGTTTTGAAAAATAATATAAAGATACAACACTGTTTTAAAATATGAAAAAATGGAATAGTAATGCTTATTAATATCCTGTTACTGAAAAAAATCCCACAAAATTCAACAAAATACTCAACATTTAGGAGCCCTCCTCTTAATAGCTTAGCATAATTATTTCCAGTTTAATGGACAAAATATTTTTTGCAAAAGCAGGGTGTCCCCACAGGCTTTCCTTTTCCTGCAATTTTGGCTGAGTTGATCTTGAACATAATCTTCAGGGAAGAGAAGACTAAACAAATTTAGTCTTCTCTTCCCTGCTTACAATAAACTATTCCAATTTATATATTAGATATGTAGATGATATCTTAATAGCTTGAGAAGGCTCCTTTAAACAACTTTGTCAACTTTTGTTAAATTCCTGTCTGATGTTTATGCTTTCATTTCATTGAGAACAAGCAAGACAGAAAAATTGCATTTTTAGATCTAGTCATACATAGAGCCACCACTCATCTATCTTACACTGAACACCACAAGTTCAACTTACCTCCATATATCATACCAGCTTCTTCCTTGCAGCCACCAAATACATAAATATGGTTTTATCTGCCTTTATTCATAGGACATACTTATATCCTTCATCTTCAACTTTGATACAAGATGAATTGTGTTTAGTGGTTACTACTGTACACAATGCTGGGTAAACAATCTCCAAGTTTAAATATATCAACAACCTGATCCACAGTTCTCATTTCCTGCTCACTGCCCTCCATTCTAATGACAAATACAAAAAGCTAATATTTGCACAACCTCTATTCCATACTTAGGGTCTCTTACTAACCAACAGCTCAAAACTAAGTACAATCAATAAACAAAATGACTGAAACCAATTTCAAGCACAAAGTTAGCAGAAAGCAAATGTTTTCAACCATTAAATGGACAATAAAGATGCCCGTTTAATGGCCAGAAACGTTTGCTTTCTTCTAACTTTGTGCTGAAAATTGGTTTCAGTCATTCTGAGGCTGTTACTTTACAAATGGTTTGTGCTTACGAAAAACACAGGATCACTCTTACCATCAAACCTCAACAGTCATTCTGCAGAATTCTATGTAATGATAGGGATTGTCTTACCTTTTGAAGTAGTCTGGCATTTATATAATCCCATTATAGCAAGTGCAAAAAGAAACAAACATCTTTTACATAGATGCCACAAACTAGAAAGTTATTAAGTCATTCAAATACAAAAACCTAAAACCTTAATCTCTGTGTTATCATTTTTTGACATTAGATTTTTATTTTTGTTTTAGCCCAATTTTGTTTTTGTTACTTAACTGTATATTTGTATTTTATTTATTTTATTTAACCACATTTTATGTATGTTGTTAAATCTGTATTTTCTTTACATTTAAATCAAAACTTGTTGCACTTATTTGAATTCTATCACTTAACATGACACTTATGTTTAGAATGTGTTCTTATGTTGCTTAACATTAAAATAACTTTTTTAAATTGCTATTCACATTTTCTATATTCTTTGATTGATGACTTTTGAAATGTCAAAAGTACTTGCATGTAATCAATTTGTGAAGTGAATAAATTTAATGCTGAAAGACGATATATTTCCTCCATAACCTATATTTAATGTCATACGTGAAAATGCAAATTTTTTTATTGTAAGGACTTTTAAAACATTTTCCATTGTATTTTATTTTGTAATTTTTTTGAAAATTTATTTTTTTGAAAAATAAAGAGAGAAAATTACAATAGTTAAAACATTTTTTAAAACTTACGCAGACATACACCATTATTAGCAAAGTACCCGTTTCCACAAGTTTTCACACATTCACCATCCTTCATATTGAAATCCTTATTGCATTTGATACAATCCACAGTTTCTGGTCCATCACATTCAAAACAATTATTGTGACAAGCTGAAAAATAATATATATATATAAACACACAAAACTTTTTTGTTTTTTTTCAATAAATTACATATTAAATGTTATTTTTAGAACAATTTTAGAAAATATTCATAGACTTTTACTTAACCCCTTAAGCCTTTAACCAAGATATCTCGGGCTGTGCGTGAGGATGCACAGTCCTTAACCCGAATTATCTCGGGCATATGCCTTAAGGGCCTCATAAAAAAGGGCCTTGACTTATAACTTTTTCAAAAATGTATGGATCAGCATATATACATTGATATCTATGTTGTCTGCAAATTTCATGAATTATTTTTGCCACAAAAATTTTTATTTATTAATTATATAATTAATTGCACTATTGTTTTTTTATGGAAGTTTTTTTTATCAAATTAATTAAATTGTTCCAAACTTCTATTTGACCGTTTTGACTTCGGTAAAATTTTTTAAACCGCTATTGGATGTTTTTTTTGACATCAGGTTTTTTAGTTTTTTTTGTTTAGTAAATTTTTTTCTCATACCTTTTTTTCGGTCCCCTCGTATTTTAATAGCATAAAAATCGAAAATATTGTGTTATATTTGAATAGATGCGGTAAGTTAGCTCCCCTCTGCTTTAAACCAATATTCCACTGAGATGTACATGAGAACTACCCAGGAAAGCTGACTCCAGCTGTTCTCAAGATCAATGTTTGTAAACAATGTAGACTGCAGGTGTGAAATTTCATGCCTTGTTAAATGAATGAATAACAATATGTGCAGCTATATTTTTCAAATAAAAGCATTCACTTTAAATTATTTTAAAGTTTTTATATAATCTATCTACTTTCTCAGCAATGCTATCTATTTATAATAATAAATCACACACACCTGAATTGTTTTTGCTGACTGAATTCAATTAGTTCGTTGTAGCACGATGTTAGATTTATGGAGGGGAACAGATTTTCAAAGTCCATCACCGTTCCTATTTCTTCGTTCATTAAATTTAAGTTCTGTATTTCTTTTATTAATTTATTTGGATCATGGGTCACAAAACTATTATCCTCCATTTTTGTACTTATGTATTCTTTTAAACGTTTTTCCAGTGCGTACGTTGGTGCGTTATTCTTCTCTACCACAGGCCTGAGTTCTTTGTCCTCTTTGTGCGTTTTCGCAAATGCGAATAATCTAGGCATCTGTGGATTGGGGTTATGTGCTCTTTTCAGGAACGTTAAGACGGACGACAGTGGTGCTTTTTCAATCTTTCTAACTTTTTTATCCGTGCTTGAAATTATGTTTTCATCTACAATTTCACATTCAGTTTTTTTGATATACCTCTCCATTTCTTTATTGTAGCGTTTTCTTTCCATAATGACCATTTGTTTGGTTTTATCTGCTTTTGTTAATACTAATTGACTCTTGTTTAACCATTCTTTTGTGCGTTTTATACCCAATTGCTCTTTTTTCTGTCCTTTTGGTACCTTGTTTTCATTGTGTATCATTTTCCACCTAAAATAGTCTTTCTCTACCATGTTCAAACCTGCCATGCCTCTTTCCATTTCCGCTATTGAGGTTTGCCATATGTTTCCATTGTTTGGAACATAATTAGGCCCATTCTTTAAGGTTTCTTCCACATACCTTGGCACTTCATATTCGTCCCATAGGATATATGGCATTACATTCCTTTCTTGTTTGTTTGGAGTTTGTTTTCTTAAGATCCATTCCATTTTTCGTTTGTACCTTTTTTCAACCGCGTTTTGCACTCTGTCAGCGATTTTTACCGTTTTATTATTGATTT